TGTCTCTGAGTCTAGTGCGTAGATGCTGTTTGAATGCTTGTGGCGGGTGGCAGGGTTGTGGAAGGACATAGACAGACTGCTGGGTGCCACCTGAGGATCCTTGAGGTGGAAGGCAAGACTGTTAATTCCTCTTGGAAGTCTTCTGCCAGGGCTGCCCTCGGGTTTCTGAACTAAGTATTCATATCCCACCTTCTCCATAGCACATGGTCCCTTGTTATTTGTTGGGTCCTGGGATAGGTGGTGGTCCAAGGCTGTTGAACTGAGGGTAAGGAAACCTTGATATGAGATTCACAGAATATAAGACCTCATAAGCATCTAGGAGGGTGTGTGAGGTATGGGCAGAGTGCTAACTGCTGCCCATCAATAAGGGAGGCCTCAGGTGCATTCTGTTTTTTTGGTATAGAAGGGTGAGGATGGAGTTGTTGGCTATCTCTGACCCATTCCCCTCGAAGGTCACTGGGTTCCTTGGTAGTCTGGTTTGTTTCCATCTCTAAGGAAGAGCATCTTTTCTGCTGCTGCCGCTCCTCCTCAGCGTCCTCTCTGAGAGTGCCGTTGACATAAGACTTCCGCTGCCAAAGCTAATTGTGAAGCCCGATCAGTGAATGAAGGCAAAGGCAGTTCCCATGACAACCGCAAAGAGTTTCAAATATAGGGGATGATGTGTGTGTGTGATGGGCGGCAATTACTTGGGTGGAAATTGATGCATGGACACCAGAGACTTCAAACACAGACTCCGAAGGTGGAGGGGGTGTTGGTATTTTTTTTGGGGGGGGGCAAGATCCTTTGGCGAGGAAAGGAGGTCACAGACTTCCTCATAGTTGATACCAAGTGCCTTTAGTGTATGATCGTTGGGCAAAACTCTGCAAGGGCTTTGGAAAAGCATGACTCCAGTCATTCTGGTTGGGGATGAAGGACATACAGAGGGACAAATAGCAGTGTCAAGTGTCGGATGAGAAATGTTAGAAGTGCTGCCGGCTGGCAGAGGACTGGGGTAACTGGAGAAAGCTTCCTGGAGGAAGCAGGGCTTGAACTGAGCTTTGAAGTGAAACCCTGGGGAGAGTGACCTCATTCAGGACACGGCCATGGTGAGGGAGGATGAGAAGCCTGTGTCCTTCTACCCACTCCAGAAGAGGTAGGTGGATATGAAAATTGTAGAGCTACACAGAGCAGACCTCACTGTACTGTGCAAGGGAGAGGGTGATGAGAACTCTGTTTAGTCATTTTCTAGCTGTGTGACCTTGGGCAAGAAAGATGCTAAGCTTCTGTATCCCACTTTTTCCATCTGTAAAATGTGCCTGAATAATTCCTGTCACACTGGCTTGCGAATTAAATAAGGTATGATATATCATGCTGCAGGTGTGGGGTTTGATGTGGGTTTGGTGCTTGATTAATGCTCTTGAAAATTCCCTAGCCTATTTGAATGTTTCTTTGTGTGTTTGTGTGGCATCTGGCCTATGAGAATCTGGGTTCTTGGTGTTGGGGTATTTGTGTGTCTAAAAGTGAGTGAATCCATTCCGCTCTCTCAGTGGGGAAGGCTGTGGCCATATTCCTCCTGCTGGGAGTGCAGAAGGGACTGGGGGTCATGATGGATGGTGGGGGAGAGACCCTTGGCCTTCACGCAGAGGAGTCCCAGATACCTCTGGGATGATCACTGTGAAGCCTGAAATGTAGAAAAGGGACAGATAAAGATGGGAGGAGGGTTAGATGGGGGAGAGTGTCCTGGCTGGAGGTGAAGGGGCCCTGACACATGCCTTTGTACTCCTTCAAGCCTTGGTGTTCTAGGTGTCTCAGATGAGGGAATAAGGCCAGAGTGAGTGGGGATAGAATCAGGTGGACTGCTTTGGGAACCTGGGGTAGCCAAGGCTGCTGGAGAGCAGGATGCAGGGACCTGTGGTTGGGGTAGGGCTGAGTTAGCATGGCAAGATGGGTTGAGCAGGGATGGGGGGTGGGATCTTGCCTCTGTGGCTCCTGTGTGCTGGCTGAACAAATCTGAGACTTGGCTACAGTTCAGGTGTGGCAGGTCCTGTCCTTCCAGGAGAGCAAGTGTCCCTTGGGTCCTTAGGGACCTCAGAGAGAAGGCTGACGAAGACAGTGGCCTCTGCATCTCAGTGCCCACCCCCCTGCTTCTCTGCCCTCCTTGCATAGAAACTCAGCTCAGCACATTCCAATGCTGTGCAGAGCCTAGTAAGGTGGGGAAGACAGGGCCCCTGCCCACATGGGGAGGACTGCCATGTAAATAAATAACTGTACTTCTTTGTGGCTAGTGCCTTGGAAGAGGCAGTACACTGTTCTGTGAAGACTTGGGAGGAGTGGGTAATGCTTGTGGGTGCTTGATGATCTGAGAAACACAGAGGGGAGGCAATGTTTGATTAAGCCTGGTATCACATTAGCTTGTTGGCAGGCAGGGGGAGGGGGATCCCGGCAGAAGGAGCAGCATCAGGAAGTCTCAGAGGCAAGACATTACTCTCTCAGATCCATAGCTTAAAAGGGAGTGGTCAGGTTCAGTGACCTCAGTTCTCTTTGCATCTGTTGGGGTTGGCAGAAAGAGGTTAGAGAATTAGAATGAGAAGGGCCTAGAGTTGAGATTAGAATTCCAGTCCATCACTCACCAGTTGTGTTGATGGCAGTAACTTCTCTAAGTTCTTCTGTTGCCCTGTAAGAGATGAAGTTGTGTGTGGAGTAAGTCAAAGGAGATGATCCTACATTGTTGTTGACACAGGGCCTGGTACTAGCAGAGGCTTGGTAGACAGTGGCAGCCTGGAAGCAACAGGACTGCTTTTTAATGATTAAAAAAGCAGGCATCTCTCTTATCCAGCAGCAGACTGTGTGTGGGGTAGGTGGATGGGGCAGGGTTTGGGACCCAGATAAAGGAGGGACAAAGGAGGGAGTGGGACTTCACTCCTGGGTCAAAGGTACAGAGTAGAGGGGTGCAAAAGCCCAGTAGTCCACCTTGAGCCCAGCTTGGGATGCTGTTGTTTAGCATGCTTTGTCACCTGCCTCCCCTCTCTGCCCTGGGAGGAGCCGAGCGGGGCTTCCCTATGTCCCCAAGGAAGGCAGGTGTGGACCCTGGTGCCTCCTGGCTGTCTCTTTACCAGAGGCCAACTTTTCCTGTCTCTCTGAAGGCAGCTCATCCTGTTCTGAGTAACCCCTTGGAGCCCCGGGGAGGAGTGGGCAATAAGAAAGGAATCACAGGCTTCGAGGCTCTCATACATCCTAACTACTCTCATATGAGTCATGTTTCCTCTGGCCTCAGCTTACTCATCTGTGAGAATGAGAAGTAGCACCCAGTGAGCTCTCCCAGAAATTAAGAGTGCTAGTAGCTAGCAGCACCCACAGTGTGGCAGATATTCTGCTATATTTGTTCAGAGGAATCCTTCCGTGAAGTAGCTGCTATGTGTAGTTCAGTTTTACAGATGAGCAAAGAGAGGCTAAGAGAGGTGAGTTACAACCAACCAGGCAGTGTTAGGGCCTGGAATTGGTGGGCACCAAAGTGTGTGGAAGTTACCTTCCTGGGAGGTGGAAGCTCTGAGTGTTCAGGTGTAGAGCGATTGGGGTAGAGAAAGATGTGCCCAGGAATTCAGTTCAGGAATGGGTTGCAGGTCCTTCCCCTCCCTCTTTGTTCTTTTTTATCCTGTTCTTCCTTTTGTCTCCTGGGTGTTGTAGCCCTCAAAGGCTTGGAGTCTGGAAACTAGAAGGCCAAAGCTCCTGGGACCTAGGCGCCACCCCCTCTTTCTTGGAGATGGGAAGCCCTGAGGTCTGGTGGGCCCCTTGGGGTCTTGTTGGTACCTCTTGTAGCCTCTCTAAGAGAAGCCATTGTGGGGATGTTCTCTTGGGTGGGGTATGTTTAAGCAGCAGGGGTAGTGATCTGAGTGAGGATTGGGTTGTCTGCATGTGGAGGAGGGCAAAGCTGGCTTGGTGAGGCTTTGAGGGCTATTGGAGGAAGGGAGGGAGGATCAGAACTGCATAATGGTTATGGAGTATGGTCTTTAGAGACAGGCAGCCCTGGTTTGGCATCCCAAGTCTGCTCTCTGTGTGTGTGTGTGTTGTGTTGGTTTTTTTATTTTTTTTTTTTATCTGTGTCACCTGGGATAAGTTGCTTCGCTGGTCTTCTCATCTGCAAAATGGGGTGAATGTAATGTTCATGCTGCCTGGGCTTTTCTTCATCTTTGGGGATTAAGGTGGCTCTGTGCCTCCTGTTCTTATCGCAGGGCCTGGTGCTGTCCTAGCCGCCTGTAAGGATGATGCTGGGGTTGAGAGTGGTAGTGGGAATCCCGCCAGCGTTTGCCCTATCCGGAGGCGCAGTCTGTCATCTTTGACCCTGGAGGTGCAGAGGACGCCTTCTGGGCATTACCCTGAGGTCCCCGCAGGGAGATAGGGGGTGGCCCGGGATCCCCCAGTCTGCTGAGAGCAGCGGTGGGCCTGGGAAGCAGCCAGCGCTGCTCCGCAGCACCCTCCGTGGTGGCCCCAGCCTTACGGCTGGGCAGGTCCGCGGGCGGGGGCAGGGCCAGCCGCGGGGATTGGCTGGCGAGCGCGCCGCCCCTCGCACACCAGCCCTGCCGGCGGGGAGGGGAGGGGAGGGGAGCGCAGCCGGCAGCTGGCCACCGCCTCCTCTGCAGTGCCTCCCTCCGTGCGCTCCCTCCGCGGGGATAATGGGAGGCCCGCCGGCGGCCGATGCACCAGAGGAGGCCGGCCGAGGTAGGGGCGCAGGGCGAGGAGGGCCCAGCAGATCCCACACGGGCAAAAGGCACAGTGTCTTCTTGGATCTCGGGAGGGTTCAAAAAAGGAGAAATGAAAACAAAAACACAGTAGAGGCAAGGAGCGCATTAGCACCGATTCTGGGCGGCAGCTGGAGGCAGGAAGATGGTCCCTGTTAGTCTTTCTTTCCCAGGCCCCCTCCCTTCCTGCGCTCCTCTGCCCCTTCAGTGGTATTGGGGGGAGGGGGGCAGCAGAAGGACTTTGCTTCTTTCCTTGTTCATCTGTCTCTCTGGCTTATTTTGCAGGTGGAAATAAAGGCTGGTGAAGGAGCCGGGCAGTGGGGACAAGGAGCTGTCAAGGTACCTTCTGTGTGTGTGTATATGTGTGTGTGTGGTGGTGGTGGTGGTGAAGTGTTTGTCTGGATTGGATAAAAATAAAGGGTCTCCTCTGGTGATCCCTTAATCTCCCACTGTGTGTATAGCAGCAGCTGAGGGGGAGGGGCGGTGGGGGTGTGGGCGGCCAATGAATTCTCAGGCCTGTGTGGGTTTTGTTTGGATTCTTTTTGCTTTCTCAGCTGGATGGTTTGGGTGCAGTTGGGGTTTGGTTTGTTGAACTGTTTTTTTTTTTTTTTTTAAAGACATGCAACCCACTCCCCATCCCTGCCTCTGGAAATCTCTCGAGAATGTCCCTGGCACTGTTGGTTTACATCCAATCTGCAGAAATCCTGGGGGGTAGGGGTAAGGGGGAGGGAGAATTGTGCTCCTGAGTCTGAAGCTAAAGCTGATAGGGTGTCATTAGTCATGCTGCTGTCACCATGGAGATGGCTGGAGAGGAGAGGAGGTGGTGGGGGTGAGGATATTTTGGGTAGGGTGGGGGCTGATGCAACATCATGACTGGGAATCCGTTGGGCGTCTGCTATTACTCTGTGCAGCTTGGTGTCTGGGGGACTGGGAAGGGAGTGTTCCCAGGTGCGTGGGAAGCAGAGAAGGGGCACTGAGCTGCTCTGTGTGGTTGTCTGAGGGCGGGGGCTGGGATATTTGGGGCAGGAAAGGGGGGAGAGTCTCGTGGAGTATTTGCCATTACGAGGAAACCACAGATACTCCTTCCAGGTTGGCAGGGACCAGATCAGTAGGTTTCCCTGGGCTTTGCCACTCTTTTCAGGGCTAGGGACCTGCCGTGAGTTTGGGATTACTCAGCAGTATCCTCTGCTGGCCCAGGGTGGAGAAAACAGTGGAAGTCAGCTCTGTGTGGCTACCTCTCAAGACCAAGAGCAAAAAGGCTGGAAAGGAGTATGGGGACAAGTGGGCAGGGGCAGGCTTTTGGAACTTTTCCTAACAGAGAGGAAAACCATTCCCACTCCTTCCTCAGCTTCAGGAGTCTTTGGGGAGCTGGGGAGCTAGGGAGCCTGGTTGCTTGGGTAGCAGGTAGGCGAGCTGCTGGTGTCCCCAGATGCTCTTAGTCTCTCCTCCCTGGAAGTCCTCCTCCCGCCTCCTGGGAAAGCTGTGGGAAGCTCTGTGGAGGTGCTGCAAGTGGCATCCTGCCACTTCACTGACTGGGCGGAGATGCTGGCAGGGAGGGCTGTGCTTCCCCACGTGGGATGGGGGCTCCTGCTTAAGGCTGCAGGGTGGATCAGGAGGAGGCCTGGGTAGTTCCTTGGCCTCATCCCAAGGAACTTGAAGCAAGGAAGTGCTTGGAGGAGGGTGTGAATTTTGCTTCTGAAGCGGCTTCTTGGAAGAAGAGCCAGGTGGCATCGACTCCCCCTGGGGAGCTGGGTGTGCTTTGCTGAGTAGTGGGTGCTCACCTGTGATGAGCCTGTGGGAGGCCCGGAGGCAAGCAGAGGTGGTTGACACTGGCAATGCTGTGGGTGGAGAGGAGAGAGCAGTGAGCTCACCTCATGCCAGCTAGCTCTCATTCCACACTTTTCCATTCTCTTCTCTGGAGCAGAACCCTAGGTTCCACCTCTGCTTCTTTCCCTGGTCTCCCATTGCTGACTAGAGGAGTTGTAATCACACTAGGAATGTGTTATTGCAGGGCTGTGGGCATGGAAATTAGAAATTGTGGAGTAGACCTGTTCTGCCCCCCAGCCTGGGGAAAGAAGGCCAAGGGGATGAGGACAGATGGGCTCAGGAAAGGGGCAGTAGTCCCCTCCCTCCTGTGTTTCTAGCCTTGTCAGCCAGAGCTTTCCTCTCTGCTGGGAGGATGGCTGGCAGGTTTGTTTACTCCCGAGAAAGCACCCCCTCCTGCTGTAGTGATGGCTCTTGCTGGCAGACCTGTTTCTCTTCAGCTCTTTCCAAGTGTGTTCTCTGGTCTCCCTGCATGCATTCTGCAGGCCCAGAATGGAGGCCAGTTTATGCAGTCCTACCGGAGGCTTCCAGTGTGATTCCCAGCCCTTGCCTTTAGGACTGTGAGCATGTGGAAGGTGCTGTTTGAAAATCCAGATGGAGTTCTTTTAACAAGCCTTCTTTCTCAGAGTAGGGCTTGAGTCGGTGGAGTTTTTAAAGCTCTGAGGTTGTGTCTGTGCTTGTTTTTATTGTTCATTTGTCTGAGAATCACAGCTTCCTCTCAGCTTTGCTTAGGCACTGCCAGCAAACACTTAGGTCTGAACCCCCGTACCTGGTGTCACCTTTTCCCTACTCAGGGTTTTCTTGGGTGGCCAGATGGCTGCAGTGTTCCACTTACTCCAGATGAGGCAGTTTTGCTAGATCTTCTTTTATTATCAGGTTGTGGTATAAGATGTGTTTGGTGCATGAGTCTGTCCTGAGATTAGGTCAACAGTCTGGACACAGGACGAAGGAGGTGTCAGTTTGTTGTCTCATAAGATGGGTACAGCATGAGTAAGCCCTACGGGTGTTGTTATCTAGTAGCCAGTGAGCATGTGTACATCTACCATGTGCTCAGTGCTGCCAGGCTTTCAAGAATATTTATGATGTCTTAGTGCACTGAGTGCCTAGCACAGGTAGAGTTGAGCTTGATAAATGCAAGTTAATCTTTTAGTATCCAGCATGCTCCATGTTGACCCTGTAATATCCTAAGGAACAGGCTATAGCAGATACTGTTGCTGCCGCCTCCTGCTTGGCGGCCTGGATCTGAGTGAGCGCTCAGTGCTCAGAGCACCAAGCAGCCCTGCTTTCCGGCTCCCACGCTTTGGCCCATGGGAACCCTCAATTGGCTGAGGATGTTTGGAAACTATTTTGAGACTGTGTCTCTCCTTTTGGCCACTGCAAGAATGCCCTGTTGTCAATGGTCTGTAACACTCTACTTTCTATACTCTATAGGTCACTCCCACTAGTTCTTTCTTGCCTGCCCTTCCCACTCTCCAGCTCTTTATAGGGACTTGGGGATAACCTCTTCTCTATAGGCAGCAGCGAACTTGGGGAGGTATAGAAGCAGGTGAGTGTGTCAAGCTAGAGCAAGAAAGGAACCCAACCAAGAGGTTTTCAGAGTTGAGTTTGGGGATGGAGTGATAAGAACGAGTTGAGTCCCAGAGCTCAGTTCTGCCTCCTTGATGACCAACCCTTTTTGAGTGTCATAGGAGAAGGAGAGAGCTCTTTACAAGATACACATGTGAGTGAGCTGAAGGGACAGGCCTTCCTGTTCACGGTGGTGCAGGGGCCCTGGAGCTGTCACACCCTTGTTGGGCACAGGGAGGAGGGGCCTGAGTGCTGGGTAATGGGCTCTCTGGTCTTGCTAAGCTGGGGGCAGGGATAAGGAGTGTGGGGAGGGGCCTTGGTTTTGCTCAGCTTTTGGGTCTCCCAATCCTCTTAAGTCCTCCTTTTCCTACCCTGACCTCTTGGGCTTTTGGCCTCATTTCCTCTGACACCCAGCATCTGGCAGCTAGCTGAGGACTCAGCATCTCTGCAGCTTCTGAGAAGGAACTGGATTAGTTTGGGAAGCCTTTAGGCAAATAGAGGGCAGGGATGGCTTGGACATTTAAAATCCATAGATTATCTGCTATCTAGGACTGTGACTCCATCTCCATTTGCTTTATCTCCCTTTCTTCCTTTGTCTTTCTCCATTGCCTGAGCATTTGCCATATTCTAGAAACAGTGTTACATATACAAAATAGAAAAATTATTTGATCCTTACAAAACCACTGGAAGTAAAGGACATTGACTAAATTACCTCCGAAATTGTAACTTTAAATGGGACAACTGGCATTGGTAGTTTTGTTTCTTATGTGTTGACTCTGCTTTTGACCTTAACTTTGTGTTGGGGGTTGTGAACTTGCACATGGCAGACAAAAATGCCTTGCCCCAGATGTGCTCAGCTCTTCACATTTGCTTTCTCACTGGCTCAGTAAACCTCAAGGGACTTCGAAGGAAGAATCAACATACCAGCTTTATTTTCAGTAAGTTAGTGTTTCTGGGATCTAGCATTGCAGATTAAGGTAGTGGGGTCAGAAAATCGACTAGCAGAGAAAGGAGATTAGTTTTATAGAAGGAAAGTGTGGGCTTTAGATGTGTTAGGTTTGAGATTTAGGTAGCAGTATTTCTAGGAAACACTGTGCCTGGGCAGTTTACCTTGAACCTGAAATTGGCTTCATGTTTCCTACAGTCCTGACTTCTTCAGGGGTTCCAGTGAAACCCACTGGCTGAGGGGAGGAGGGTGAGAAGTGCATTGTCAGTTTGTCAGTTTCTTTTTTCTCTATTTCCTATTCTAACCCTCCTCTTGGGTTCTGTTGTTTGCAGTGGTGAGATCACTTAGTGTCTGTGAATTTGTCGACTTAAGGTTTCTCTGGAAGGGGAAGGTGTTGCCTTCCAAATTAGTTTCCCCCTCCCCCTTATTTTTTTTCCAAATTAGTTTTAATCAAACTAAATCTGAGGAAGGACAAGCTTTTGTTTCTTGGAGGGGGTGTGTGTGTGTGTGTGTGTTTAATATGCAAAACTAAAACACAATCCTACTTTGTACAGCCAGCTCACAGCTTCCAGTGAGAGTAGCTTACCTTGGGAGTTCAGCACCATTCAGACTGGTTTCTTAGCCATTCAGTGAGGTGAGTTTAGTGACCATGCCCTTAGATGGCCTGGTAGCCTTAAATTGCTATAATGGTTTCTAAGGGCGTCCTTATGGTTCCTGTATTTATGTTATAGCTGATGGGTGATAGATAAACCGTTTATGGGACATACCCTGAATGGCTTTGCTTTATTTATTTATTTAGTACGAGAAGTGTATGATCTTTTTTTTTTTTAAGTTTATTTTTTAATCATTTCTGTTTACTTCAAATGTGTGTGCATCCTGATGTACATTTTTCAAGCATTGAGTTATCATTATTATTATTATTATTATTTGCAGTTTTTGACCGGGGCTGGGTTTAAACCCACCACCTCCGGTATATGGGGCCGGTACTCTTGAGCCACAAGTG